CACAGTACAGGCAGTCTTCTACTGCTAAGCCGCATATCCTTCTCGGAAACCTCCGAGGACCTCTCTACGCCTTAAAGAGACGTCTCTCCTTCGGTACGATATTTCGAATCTTCAACATATCCACAGTATTCTCCAAAAATTGCCTTTTGATTCTCGACGGACGGGACCGCATTGATCAGGCTGGCTATGTGGGGGCCTGATTCGGTTGCTATATGTATCCAAAGTGAATTTTCTAACAGACACACACACACACACACACACACACATGAAAATGCCAGTAGTCAACTGGAGGCTTCTAAGAAAAAAAATCTATTATGGGCCGGCGCCGCGGCTCACTAGGCTAATCCTCTGCCTGCGGCACCGGCACCCCAGGTTCTAGTCCGGTTGGGGCGCCAGATCCTGTCCCGGTTGCTCCTCTTCCAGTCCAGCTCTCTGCTTTGGCCTGGGAAAGCAGTGGTAGATGGCCCAAGTCCTTGGGCCCCTGCACCCACATGGAAGACCCAGAAGCATTCCTGGCTCCTGGCTTCAGATCAGTGCAGCTCCAGCCATTGCCGCCAATTGGGGAATGACCCAGCAGATCAAAGACCCCTCCCTCCCTTCCTGCCTCTCCCCGCCTCTCCTTCTCCCCACCTCTCCCCACCTCTCCTTCTCTGTGTGTGTGTAATTCTTTCAAATAAGTAAATCTTTTAAAAAATTGACCAAGTGACTATAAACTAGTAGTAGCAGAATCTAATCAAGTTAGTGGAATCCAACCCAGCAAATGAACATCCTTTACCTTGTGGTAAAGACTGGGAGCCATAATCAGAGTGAAATGATGTGCCAGGGACTTACATTCTGCCCCAGTTATTTCTGCTGGTTCACTGTTATGGTTTGACCTGACTCCCAAAGACTCATGTGTGTTCAAACCTTTTCCCCCGTGTTGAGAAGTGGTGGAATCTTCAGGAGTGGGACCCAGCGGGAGGTGGTCAGGTCACAGGTAGCACTGCCAGCCCTCAAGAAAAAAAAATGGGTGTAGCTCTTGAGGGACCCCAGATAGCTTCCCCTAAGAGTGAGGTGTTACCACAGAGCGGGCCTGGCCCCTGAATCTCTCTGGCTTCCCGTCTTGTCGTGTGATCTCTTCCATGTACTCCCACCACAGTGATTTTATCTGCTGCGAAGCCCTCACCAGAATAAGAGCCCACTGCACGAGTCTGACTCTCCAGAATTGCCAGCCAAATAAACTATCCTCATAAGGTCCCCAAAATGTGGTGTTTTACTGTAATAGCAAAAAATGGACTAAGAGCTGTATGTGAGATAAACACAGAGTTAATACATACTTATGGGAAAAGGCTGAAAGCTGCCCTCCTAAGTTGAAGTGTAACATCAAGATGCCTGCTCTAATCAGTCCTGTTCAACACTGTTTTGGAGATTCTAGCCAGAGAAATTAAGAAAGAAAGAAAATAAGTTTGTAAAGAAATTTCACTGGGGGCCGGCATTGTGGCAGGTAAAGCCACCACCTGAGACACCAGCATCCCATATGGGCACTGGTTTGTGTCCCAGCTGCTTTGCTTCTGATCCAGCTCCCTGCTAATGGCCTGGGAAAGCAGCAGAAGATAGCCCAAGTCCTTGGGCCCCTGCACCTATGTGGGAGACCCACAAGAAGCTCCTGGCTTAGGTCTGGCCCGGCCTGGCCATTGCAATCATTTGAGGAGTGAGCCAGTGGATGGAAGATCAATCAATCTCTTTAACTGTGCCTTTCCAATAAATAAAATAAATCTTTAAAAATTTTTCACTAACAATTCCATTGTTCCTTTCTTCTAGTCTGTCTTTCTTTGATTTTATTGTATTTTTGTAGTGATACACTTTGATTTCATTAACTTTTTCTTTTGTGAATCTACTATACTGGTTTTTTGCCTTTGTGGTTACCAGGAAACTTTTATAAATATCTTATTTTAATATTCTTTAAGATTTATTTATTTGAAAGGCATAGTTACAGGTAGGCAGAGTCAGAGAGAGAGAGAGAGAGAGCAAAGTCTTCTATCCACCAGTTCACTCACCAGACAGTTGTAATGGCCCAAGCTGGGCTGATCTAAAAGCCAGGAGCTTCATCCATGTCTCCCACGTGGGTGCAGGGGACCAAGGACTTGGGCCATCTTCTAAAGCTTTCCCAGGCCATAGCAGAGAGCCAGATAAGAACTTGAACAGCCAGCACTTGAACCAGCACCCATATGGAATGCCAGCACATATTTTAATATTCTACATTAAGCTGACAACAATTTAACTTCTGCTCCTTTCTCCTCCTCTTCTTGTAATCCCATAATTCAGATATTTGTTTGGTGACATCCCATAGGTCTCTTATGCTATCCTCATTCTTTCTCAATATTTTCTTTTGTGTTTAATTGGCCAATTTCAAATGATACCTTGTAGGGCACTGATTTATATTTCTACATGATCAAATCTTCTATTAAAGTCTATTTGATGTTCAGTTCTGTCACTGTATTCTTCAGTTTCAGGACTTTTGTTTATTTCTCTATCAAACCTGAGGCCAGGCATTTGGCCTAGAAGTTAACATGCTAGTTAAGATACCTAGATCCCACATCAGAATACCTGGGTTCAATAGCCAGCTCTGGCTGCTAACTTGAACTTCATAAGGCAAACCCTGGGAGGCAGTGGTGAGATCTCAAGTAGTTAGATCACTGCCATCTCTTTGGGAGATCTGGATTGAGTTCCTGAGTCCCAGCTTCAGCCAGGCCCAGCCCTAGCAACTGCAGGCATTTGAGAAATAAATCAGTGGATGAGGGGTCTCTCTCCCTCCCTGCTTCTCTCCCCACCCCCCTTTTCCCCTCTTCCCTTCCCTCTCTCCTTCTTCCCTCCCACTCCCCCCCCCCAAATAATACTGCTTTTCAAGATATACTACAGGGTTGTTATAATCAAGCAGCCTGATATTGGCACAAAAAATAGACATGTAGACCAATGGAACAGAATAGAAATGTCATAAATTAACTCACATATGTACAACCAACTAATTTTTGACAAATCATTCCAAGGAAAAAAGACAGCTTTTCAACAAATGATGTTGGGAAAATTGGATTTCCACATGCAGAAGTTTTAAACAAGACCCCCACCTTACAGACTATACAAAAATAAACTCACAGCAGATCAAGCACCTGAACTTAAGATCTGCAACCATCAAATTACTAAAGGAAAACACAGGGGAAATGCTGCAAGACACTGGCTTAGAAAAAAGGATTTCTTAGATAATATGTCACAAGCACAGGCAATAAAAGCAAAAATGGACAAATGGGATTACATCAAGCTACAAAGTTTCTGCACAAAGGAAACAAAGTGAAGAGGCAACAAACAGAATGGAAGAAAATATTTGCAAACTGTGCATCAGATAAAGTGTTAATATCTGAATATATAAGGAGCTCAAGAAACTCAAAAACAAAGCAAACAATCCAGTTAAGAAGTGGGCAAAGGACATGAACAGACATTTTTCTAAGGATAAAACAGCCAACAGACACATGAAAAGACATGATCAGGATCGCCTAGCCATCAGGAAAATGCAACTAAAACCCACAATAAAGTATCACCTCATCCCTGTTAGAATGGCTATTATCCAAAAATCA